AGGGCTGAGGCTACTCCTACATAAAATATACATCAGATAAATATTTTCACCATCACCAGTGTTCTACTATGTTTAGATTACCTGGAGGAGAAGTGGAAAAAAAAAGTTCATGTCAACATTAAATAATGTTGGTTCTTAAGAAAACAGAACCAACCAGGTTTCCATTTCTCTATATAAAACTGTATAAAGAGGAGCTCTGTTCTCACACTGTAAATAACCACCCAGTACTGCATTGGACAATAAAGAATAGGGTCGTCTAATCAGTATTTTATCAGATACCAATTATTAAGAGCCCAGTGCAATTAGGTAGTCGATCTACAAATGGAAACATCTGAAAATGCAAATATCAAAATCTCGAAAACATCCAGATGATTCTTTCCCAAAAGTTATTTTCTTCTTCTTCTTCTGCGTCTTCTTTTTAAACCAAAACATGCAATAGTCAAAACTGTTTCCTCAAAAACAGGATTTAAATACTCCGATCCAAAGATCTGCAAAATCGTAAGAACAATTATACAGTCACTCTACCGAACCGTGTCGATTAATACGGCGATACCGTTTAGAGAAGAGGGTTTTCTTCGGAGAACCTAAAACCTCCCGTTGCTGACGGTGTTGTGCAGGAAGAGGACAGGAAACGAGACGAAGCAGCGTGTTCAAGCACTCAAAAATGATTTTTTTTAAAAAAAGGATTTGAAGCAGGTGAATAACTGTGGCCGTCTGCGACGTCATTTAGTGAGCTTTGTGCTCCTGTGTGTCAGAGCTCAACGAGGACTGCCACCAAAAGACCTATAGGAGCTTTACATTCTGCCTTTGCAAGATGGGAACATTTACTCGGGGATTGTTGGTGTGTGTGTGTGTGTGTGTGTCCCTTCCACCTGATTACACAGTTGCCAACTGTAGCTTTAAGGAGACCCTGTGTTTAACGGTGTCTAAAGGTGTTTAACACCAAACCTGTCTGTCTACACACGTGCTGCTCGGTAAAAGGGAAAGCCAAAGAGAATGTAGAAGGAGATTTATTAATTGATTTCATTCCTGGCTCTGTGTTTACAAAAGTTTTTGCAGACTTTCAAAGTAATTTATGCATCTGATGAATGTAAAAAAGAAAAAAAATCACCTCTTTTTTAATTATTTAGTACCCTTTGAGACAGACTGGGGGCAAATTTGCAGCAATTGTCTGATCAGCTGTTTCACAAATCTATCATAAATACTTGTTTGGTTGATTTTCTTTCCTTTTCATCTGCACAAACACAAAGAACGGAGCCTTACGTGTTTACAGATACGATATGGGAGCACTTTGGTTTTCACTCAGATTACTGAGGATTTGTGCATGTTGTGCGCTGACCCTCCCCCCCTCAAGAAATAAAAATAAAATAAAGACACCCTCCAAGCCAGCTGCCTTGGAAAAGGGTATCTGTACCAATGAAGCTTACAGGCATGCTTCAAGTGTGAGTGTGTGTATATGTGTGCCAAACCACACCGTGCACATAACAGAATCAATTACGTATTGTGCTCTGCCAGGACAGAAGGAAGAAAACGTTCAGCTCCTCGATGAAGCTCCTGGACGCATGGCCCACGTGACATGTGGCAAACCGGTGCGTCAGTAAACCGATGTGTCTGAAGTTGCGAGGTGCCGGTCAGTGAGGACAGAAACAAAAAGCAGAATGATAAATGGCTTGTCGAGTCCTCGGCAGAGGTGCGGATCCCTCTTCTGTTTACAGTAACCCCATCAGTGGGTGGGCCTGAGCTTTTGGAGAAATCTACAGTACCTAACGTCGCTTCCAGCCACACCCACACCAGCACAGCCACACTCAGGGTACGAGTACCTATAGAAGCACGAACACCAGACAGAGTGAGAGAGCTATTCTCAATCGTCATATAAAAAAATGGGTTTATAGCATGTATTAGCAGTTCTACAGTATGAATACAAGAGTGTGGCTGTTTTTATGTAATGTGGATGATAACTATATTTTCCACAAGTATATATTATTATTGCACTCTGGCTACACATATTTAGTAAGTTAGTTAGTTTGGTTGTCTTTAGATGTACAGAAACACAGGTGTCGAAGCTGATCCAGCTTGAAAACAGCACTAGAGGAGAGGCTCAGTGAAGCCATGATTCATTTCATTTCAATGAATCAAAGCAAATAAAAAATCTATTTTTTTCCCTGCCCTGAAATTTCTGGATTTTAAACTCCCCGCAGGGATGTGGCCCATTTAATAACGGCCAAATTTGAATGTGGAGCTAGGGCGCGTGAACTAATTAGCACATCTTAGTCAAATATATACTCACATTGCTCTTTCTATAAATGCTTCGCATCACTGAGCCCACACTCTTAAGACTGATACCTATTTAGACACCGGTTACATAGAAATCTGAGACAAAACTACAGAAACACATCACACACACACAAACACACACCCTCCCCACCCCTTGTTCTCTTCGATCTCTTTTTCAAAATAGAAAAATAAAACCCGCTCTCCTCGGACCTCAGCTGGCAGGCTGAGAGGAGAGGGGCGCTCTCCTTCACGGCTTCCCTCGCTCTTTGAAAAGAGACATACATTCACAAGAGGACAACGGAGGAGAACAAACGAAACGAGCAAAGTCGAAATTCAAATTTTGTGTGCAAAAAACATTTTTAGATCTCTATAAAAATATGTGCATATGGATAGAGCTATTTTTACCTCACCAAATACAGTATTTTCCTTTATTTACACTGCACAGATACACAGAGAAACACACGCACTACAGCTCTGCCCTGCTCCTCCTCTCTGTCGTTTACAGGCGTAAGAACTACATGGCCGACTTCCACAACAACAGATTTGACAGTAATCGCACGTAAGAGAACTCAGACGCTCGCACACGCACACACGCACACATACAGAGTTCTGCTCTGATCAATGTGATCCGAGGAGCAGAGGAGGGGCAAGCAGAACTTCTGTAGAAAACCTGAAGTTGCATATCCCACAATTCCCCCCCTTACGCTCGCATTTCACAAACCTCTTCCCGTTAAAAGGTCAGAGGTTGTCAGCCAGACGCTGCTTCCTGATTGGCTCGCGCAGGTGAGGACAGTGTGTGAAAAAAAACTTTGGCTACGGAGTTAGGTGGCTTTAGTCCTGGTGTGTTATCTGCATTAGTCCCCGACACACCGTGTACAGTGAGCACTGTTTGCCTGATACAGCCTCCAGCTGTGGATCTGCTGTCCTTCCAGCTGGGTTTAAAACAAATGGATCCATTGTCTCTTATTCAAGTCTGTACCAGCTTCTCTCTGGAAAGATTAATCAATGTCTGTTCATTATTCATCTTAACAAAAAAACAACTGAAAAGAAACACCTCTTATTCCCATCTCTGCTGAGGTTAGCCGAGGCGCCGCTGCTCCAGCCTCAGAGATTTAAAACCAGATTCACCTCCAGAATCAAACAACTGGTGTTTATTGGGCGGTCCTCCGATTCTTTGCACTGAATCCTGCGCCGCTTCCCAGCCTGCCGTCGAAAGGGGAAGAGCAGGTGGCCGTGTCGGTGTCTGATATGCCAGCTGATAGGCCGCTCATGTATCTGGACTGCGGTTGGTCGAAGGTGAACTGAGGGAGGGGGATGTGCCCCGCAGCAGGGGAGACAGGGTGTGTCTGTGAGAAAGGCATTGGGACAAGAGGGGTGTGAGGCTGGATAAAGACGTTCGGGCTGATGGGGATGTGTGGGTGTGTAGGCGTGTAGGCGTGGGGAGGGGTGTGTGTCTGAGTGCGTGTTGGGGTAGACGGTCGCGAGTGAGCCAGTGCCCGAGTGGGCGAGTTTGCTCGCAGAGGAACATGGACAGGCGTTAGCGATCTGTGCATTGGAGATTGCGTGTTTGCATCTGATGACGCGTCTTGGGCGTTTGTATTTGACTGCATGTGTGGCGTCAAGTCGTAGGAGGGTGTCCTGCGTCTCAGCATCGTGCTGCAATCAGATAATTTGGGGGGCGAGGCGGTTTCAGCGTGCTCCCTCTCTGAGGGTGGGTGAATGGATATACATGGAGGACTCATCTTCTTCTTTCTGTGGTTGCTCCTGACAGACTGCACCCTCACAGGACCGCCTTTCTCCAGCCAGTAGGCCTCCTCTGTGAAGTGTTCGTTAGAGCTGGTTGTTCCAGCCCGCGGGAGGCAAACCTCGATGGAATGACGCCGCTGGTCGTCGGCGTATCCAGCATTCAGTGATGGCGGCTTGTCCAGGAAGCCCTGGTTGTCGATGCTGAAGCCTTTCCTGAAGTCCCGGTCCTTCAGTCCGGCTCCAAGCAGGCTCAGTGCGCTCCTCGACGAGGATGGTGGCAGCGGAGGAGGAGGAGGAGAAAAGGTGGAGGAGTAGGAGTCGAGGGCGGACGGCAAGGTGTACGGGGAGAGGGAGTGGCTGCGGCCCACTTTAACCCTGCTCTCCGTCCCACCTCCCTCCCCGTCCCACCACCTGTGGCCAGCAGAGCTGGTGATGTGATACACCTCCTCGTCGGCCGGGTCACAGAGGGAGATGGCGGAGGGCGGCCTTGGTCTCCGGAGGCTGGCAGGCCTCAAGGGGGCGCGGGGCGAGGGAGGTGGAGGGAGAAGCAGCGAAGGGGAGGACGGTGGCGGAGGAAGAGAAGAAGGGGAAGACAGCAGAGGAGGAAGAGGAGAAGGACGATAGCGAGGGAAGGCGGAGGGGGAGGAGGGAGAAGCAGGCAGGGGTGATGACAAGGAGGATGGATGAGGAGGTAGCTGTGAAGGGGACAGGGGGGGCAGATGGACTGAGCTGGTCCTCTCCTGTTGCTCAAAACCCTGAGACTCCACAGAATCAACTTTAAGCGCCACCTGCAACAGAAAAGCAGAACGCATGGGTATAAGAAGCTGCTGAAATGTGTGTATGTGTGTGTGTGTGTGTATAAGCGTGAAACGGGGTCTCTCACCTGCCTATGCAGGGCCCGTGGTGAGGGGCTGGGTGTTGGCGGGGCGATGCGAGGAAGAGACAGGGATGGAGGTGACCGAGGGTGAACGGGGGAAATGTCCGGAACCTGGAGCAGAGAGTGGCTCTCACAGGGCTGGGAGTGGACCGACATCACTGAGACTGCAGGGAGACATGTGCAAAGCATATATGTCATCAAGTCAAACGTGATAGAACACGGCACACACACAAAAATGACAGAAACACATGCACTTCTGGAGAAAACACGTGCACAGCTGGGCATAAAGAAACACATGTTATTTTCTGTTCTTTTTAAAGCATTATATTTCAAGAGTCATGGCCAAAGTATGACATCGCTAACACTTTATTATGATAGAACATTCGAATCTTACAAACAGCCATTCAAATAAAAGTTTAAGTGGAAGATGTGGTCATAAATCACAGCTTCAGATATGAAGCCTGGAGAAGTTTTCTGGGCTGAAAATTTGCTTTTTAAAATGTGCTATCAAAATAAAGTGTTTCCTGGATGAAGAAAAAAATCATTAGCCCATACAGTAGGTTGTTACACTGTATGCTGAGCAGCAGCACCGAGCTGACTTTTCAGGGAAACAGTCGCAGAAGGCCAGCTTGCTGCATGTAAAATTCCACATTAGATCCTGGTTACAGTAACAGTTTCACTTGTCTCTACTGCGCCATGCCAAGGGAAATTAGGGTCCTGACGGAATATAGCGCTCTAATGTGTCAGGTGTCAAGTGCACAAGAGAGCACATCCATCAGATGTTCAATCTGTGTGGTGAAACTGTGTAGCCAGGCTCTCAGGTGATCTGCACACACAGGTTCAGTGAACTAGGAGAATTTCTGGAACCTGCAGCAGAGAGCATTAAGGCTCACCGAACCGGGGTGTGCAGATATAATAGAAATAAAACAATAAAATGTTAGTCAGAGCGTAAACGAGTTCATTTCAAGTAGATATTTTCAGTTCAAGCTGTAAAGTCACATGACAAAATATTATTCTTAAAACACCACATCTTTGACAAAAGCTGGGATGCTGTGCAAAAGGTGAATAAGTACTTACTCCATTCTTGACTTCTTGCATATTTGTAACACTTATTAGATCAAACAGATTTTCATATTACACAAAGATAACTAGAGTAATAACAAAAGGCAGTTTTTAAATGATTGATTTTTTATTTATTAAGGGATCGATTTGGCTCTGTGTGAAAAAGTAATTACACCCGAAACTTAATAACTGGTTTTGCCACCCTTGGAAGTGACAGTTCTTCCAAGTTTCCACCATTTGTGGATTATGGATCTAAGCTAGCCTTAGAAATGTCTTTGTAGCTCTTTCCAGACTGACAGATGCCAATGACAGTTTCTCAGCTGGTTCTTTAGATCTTGAAATGATGTGTTGCTTTGAGTTTGTCCAACAGGATCTATTCAAGTGATTTTTTGATTCAGCAGGTCTGACAGTATTCGGGCCTAAGTGTGGCTACTAAAACTGAATCCAGCTTTCCAAAAAAAATGCAGTTAATCTGTCAATTCATGATTTAACAGAGCGGCAGTTACTTTGGCTCACAGGGCCGGGTAGGTTTAGATAGAGTTCTTTCATTTAATACACAAAATATTCATTTAAAAACGGCATTTTGTTTTCCTCAGGTTATCTTTGTCTATCTCTGTCTGTCTGAAACATTTAAGTGTGAAAATATGCAACAACAAAAAAACAGAAGAAGACGAAATCAGGAAGCCGGAGTACACAGAGAGAACCCAAAAAGACAACTAAATGTCTCTGTTTTCATCATCTGTGTGCTTTTGATTGCATATGAGGTTTATGAAAATCAAATCAAATCACTGACACAGCAGCCCAGCATTTTTTTGTTTTTAACTAGACAATAACCAAAAGACAAAAGAGAAGTGATGACTGCACATTTTTAAACATATGCACTTTTCTGACTTTGCAACTTGACTGTGAAGACAACGACCACTCTAGTTTAGTATTCGGCCATTTCACAGCTGAGCAGATGAGCCTGTGTGAAAGTTGCAGGTATTCACGTGTATCGACTCATCCACTACAGTAAGTACCTTAGGACAGAGCTGGGCCTGTCCACAGCCTGGACACAACATGCCATTAGATTCTGACTGCAAATGAAACAGTTCTTGTTAGTGCTTAGAGATGTGTTCTGAGCATTGTTTCTTTATGTTCTGACTTCTTTTTTAAACACACAGAAGGTGAAACTACAGGAAAAAAAGATAACATTATGTAGGATAGGTATAAGGTTGACTCTATGTGAGATAAACATTACTCAGTCTTTTATTTTAACCTGTTAGCAGTCGGACGTACCGCCCACGGTACATTGGATGGTTTAGGGGACTAATTGTAAATTTGTAGGACTGCTAAGGGGTTAACTAGTTTGAATTGGACCTTGTGAAGCTTAGTTAACAAATTTAGTAACTGTGTCTCTGTCTGTTTACCACACAGATTAAATAAAATGCCAAAACTTCACAATAATAAAGCGATGCTACTCTCACAATCAATATTTTAGTATTTAACATCTAGTTTACCTGAATGCTGGTGTTGGGGACTCAGGTCTACCTCGTCTAAAGGGTAGGGGGCGCTGGCGGGTCGCACCGGTCTAAACATATAACTGTCATTTGGCAGAGAATGCATCCTGGATACAGAGATCTTGGATGACAGCAGGTTCTGGTTGTTGTACTGCACCTCTTCCTCCTGCAGGGGGAGACAGAGACCACTCAGTGCTAAAACCAACAGCTGCAGTTTTTACAAAGAAAGAATAGAGCGCTGCGTGATTCTGATGACTGACGTCTGTGTTGCAGGTTGAGACAGGTAAAAATATGAATGCCATGTCTGTGGCATCTTTCTGGTGCAAGATAGTGTACGGACAACCACTGAAAATAACACACACACACGCACAAATTCAAAGAACTGTCTCTTAAAGTTATCTTAAAGGTAAAGGTTAAAGGAGAGCATCGTTTGTCATCTTTTCATCAGGCTCTGAGAAACATGGGCTGAATTACATGCCAGCTCTATGCACAACCCAAAACATGTATTTAAATGTTTCCGTATTTGTTAAAAGACTGTAACCCAGCAGTAAGATGTAATAACAAAGTATATGTTTATACCTTGTTTTATTCGTAATATTGCATTTCCACCGACCAGGCATAACATTAGTACCACCTCTCTATTATTGTGTAGTTTCCCCTGTTGCTGCCAAAACAGCCCTGACCCATCGAGGCATAGACTCCACTACACTCCTGAAAGTGTGCTGAGGTGTTTGTAATCAAGATGTTAGCAGCAGATCATTGAAGTCCTCTAAGTTGTGAGGTGGGGCCTCCAGCAATCAGACTTGTTTGTCCATCGCATTCCACAGATGCTTGATTGGAGTGGGATCTGGGGAATTTGAAAGCCAAGTCCACACCTCAAACTTATTTTTGTGCTCTTCAAACCATTCCTGAACCATTGTTGCTTTTTGACAGGCCCAATTATCCTGCCAAAAGAGGCCACAGCCATCAGGGAGTACTGTTTCTGTGAAACGCTGTACATGGTCTGCAATAGTGCTTAGGTACATATCAAAGTAACACCCACATGAATGGAAGGACCTGAGGTTTCCCAAAACATCACACTGCCTCCGCTAGTTTGCCTTCTTCCCATAGTACATCTGGTGCCAGGTGTTCCCCAGGTAAGTGACACACCTTGCGAGGCGGCAGAAAGGTCAGCAGTAGTTTTATTTGATGCAACAGTAGCTCGTCTGTTGGATCAGATTGCACGTGGGGAGTGAAGGCCTACCCGTGTGATCTGTTCACTGTTCCTTCCTTGGACAGCTTTTGAGAACACCCCACAAGAGCTGCAACTTTGGAGACCAAGTTGTCTACACATCATAGCTTGGGCTTTCTTAAATTCACTGCTGCAATTGCTAATAAGCACAGTTTTGTCTTCCTACCTCTTCAGGTGAATTTGAGCATGGCCCCACATAGGTCCCTCCGACTGAGCTGTTGTTGGAATTTGTGCTTAGTCTGCGATCCCTCTCCCTATCCATTTCCAAGGCGATCTCTGCATCAATCTCCGCATCCTCTTTAGCATCCTGCAAATATATATCTACTTAATATCCGTGCATTTAAAAAGCCAAAAACCAAAGAGATAGTACTCAAGTTACTGCACCTTGTTGCTTTCCTCTAGATGTTTCATCAGAACAGCCACCACCACATTGACCAGAACAAACTGGGCCATGAGCACAAAGGTGACAAAGTAAATTGGAGAAACCCAGGGCAGATATGGTAAACAGTGTTCGTCAGACGGGTGACACTCTCTCAATGTGTCCTGAAAAGAAAAAGAAGAGAAAATGAAGAAGCAGAGAGTTTTACCCCGACACCGAATCACAGTCACCACTTGAAAAAGCTGGGCATCCACAGCTGCAAAGACTTTTGTAAGCATCACAGTTTTACACATTTACTCATTTGTAACTTCAGGAAACAAAGAAACACAAATTTAAGCACACACATAGACATGATGTAAGTAGTTCATAATCAGTAAAAAAAGAAATAAAAACATTGCACATTGTTAAACAACCCCCACTCTCCATCACTCCTAAAAGGTATATGCATGAAATCACGTCCTGTTTTTATATTGAATTAGCTCAAAAAAAATCGCCAAACTGACAGAAGCGTACATTTCTTACACACAACATAAAACAGACTGTCTGTACAAAGACAGAAATCTACTTTAAAGTGCCTTTTTTAAAGCAGTGGTTAAAAAGAGAAACTGTGTGGCATCGCCCTCTGCTGGAATTCAAGAGGCATTGCTTATGTTGTGGGCCACTTACGAGCCTGAGTGGAGAAGTTTACTTACACATTTAATCCTTCACATAATATCTTAATATTAGAAAAAAGGTGTGTGACTTCAACAAACATGTCATTTTTTTTTAGCATCAGGCCTTGTGTTTGACACCTTTTCCCTAACATGATCTTGTTAAAGAGATTCTACACTATACCTAAAAATTATAATTCATTTAAAAAAAAGAAAAACACATGAAATTGTCACATCATTTGTAAACTATCACATTTTTGTGTCGTTCAGAATTTCATTTTTTAATAAAGTAAAACTCAAAATGTGAAAGTTTTGACATCGGTCTCCTCTAAGCTACTTTATCATTTCATAATTGCTTTTCGAGGTCGTCGCTCTCTGCGGTTATGAGATAATCTAGTCATCATTTATTAGAGCTCATGTTGTGCATACAAGTGCGTTTGTGTGTGTGTCTGTTCATACTTTCATAATCCCATTCCAGTTGTCTCCAGTGGACACTCGAAACAGTGTGAGGAAGGCCATCCCAAAATTTCTAAAGGTTGCGTGACGACCCAGACCTTCACATGGGTTGTCGTCGCTGCACTCTAATCAAAGCAAACAGAAGACGTTAATTAAAATTAAACTGCGCTATAAACATGGTGATGAAAAGAAGACAAGAAATACAACGTGCCGCACTTCCATACAAAATACAACTTCTTCAATCATATAAATGCAGAGTAAACTAGTTCCAAGTGGCGTCTCCCTATGGACGTGGCACAGGAGAGCGAATGAGAAAAGTCTTCCAGGGGACAGCGAAAAGTCTTTGGGTCAATTTAACAGAGAGCTCTCGAGGCCTTGTTTACAGAAAGAGAATAGCCACCAGAAGATATCCTCCCTTGCCTCAAACCTGAGGTCACATTAACAGCATGCTTGAGAAGAATAACACATCCCTTGGAGTATTATGTACCATGTTTATTATTCTAAGCATCAGTCACCAGGAGACAAATAAGAGGATTAAACAATGTGAGAGTGTAGCACAGAGGAAATGGATAGGGAAGGTTTGCGTAACTTGTAATGAAATCAAGCTATACTGATGCAAGACTGAAACGCTCGCTGTGGCTCTAACAAATGGGAGACGACTGAGTCAGAGGCTGCTGAGAATTCAGAAAAAGCAGCTTCAGTTCAAATATATTCAGTCAAACGTTAAACATCTGACTTTTTCATTTTTTTGGACTGCAGGTATTTCACGTGTACGCCTTTAATATGTCTACATCATTAGCAAAAACATATTTTTAGACATAAAAAAACTTATTTCACAAGATCAGATTGTAAGAAAACTCATTTAAAAGATATATATGGTCCTGTGTTGTTTTCTCTCTATATGTTGCCCTTGAGCTCCATTTTTGAAAAACACAATGTCTCTTTTCACTGTTACGCTGATGATATTCAAATCTACCTTCACCTGACTGGGGATGCTTTATCCTCACCACATCCTCTGTTTGACTGTCTGAGTGATGTCAAGGACTGGTT